ACTGCTTGAAGATTATCCAAGTGTCTTCACCTCGGTATACAGTCTACACTTCGGACAGATGATCCACTTCGGTTACATCGGTAAATAGACCGAAGATGACCCACCGAACACCATAGACCACATCTTACCGCCGACTTCTTGCCGATCCAGGGTCTCCAAATACCTGGCATTGCAACATCAACGACCATCACTCCGTATGCCCATCGATGTTGGGGGCCTCTCTGTTATCATCCTACTCGGCAAGACACTATCAAGAGGTTTTAAGCATCTTGTTAAATGCGATTAACTGTTAAACCGACGTGAATCAGAACCGCACCAATCTACACAAAAGAATCGGTCTGAACCACCAAAGGCCGAAGTGGTCAACAACTACCGAGGTCAACGTCTTCCGAGATCAACGTGAACCGAGGACGTCACCTCCCTAAGCAGGTGACAAGGCGCCTACGTGTGACCCTCCAGCTCCACAAAATCCGTCATCATTTATGTGGGACCCCCTGCCTCAAACCGCCCACAAAAAGTAACTTTATTCGAAAAAGTCATGCACAGATCCCAATGTATCAACCCGAAATCACTATAAATAGCGGGCCTATAACATTTGTACGGGGATCTCTCTCCGAACTGAAAATACTTTACTAAGCAACACGAAAAAGCCCATCACGGCTCTTCACCTCGGTTCACCTCGGACCAGGGCCATTGTTGAGTAAATCTTACATGCTTTACGTCCAAATAATTCCAAATTATCCACTTAATCTCACGTTACATCGTTGTTAAAAATCACATAACAACACAGTGGTTATTTTCATTATGCAAAGAATTAAAGATTTCACTAACTACACCTGCCTCTCTGTTCACAGATAGTAAATCAGCCATTGCAATGGCCTCAAATCCTGTATTTCATGAGAGAACAAAACACATCGAGCTCGATTGTCATCTAATTAAAGAGAAGATAGCTCAAGGCTTGATTCAACTTCACCATACTCCAACCACAGACCAGCTCGCAGACTTCTTAACCAAACCCTTACCAGGCCCTCTGATCCATACACTCCTCTCCAAGTTGAGCATGCCAAATATCCATGCTCCACTTGCGGGGGGTAATAGAATTATACAGTTGTACATTTATGCTTTATAGTATTGTACTTATAGTCTTTTCCTTGTAGTTCTTTTTATTTGTAAAAGTGTCATTAGTTAGCACTTCTAGTTATTTTATCACATGTATATAAAGGGTTTGATAACCCTAAAACAGTGTGTAACTTTCATTTTTCTCATTCTTCAATTTCAATCGCCGCTTTCTCTTTCTCTTTCTATTCTTTCTCTCTTCTTCTACTTCTTCTCTGAATCTGAATCGATAATCTGTTAGTATATGTTGCGTGTATAGGCAATATATTTTCAGTATATGTTTTCATCGGCCCGTGCTTCATGTGTTTCTCATCAGGCATGTGTTTTTTATTTATTTTTATTCAATTGATACGCTTCTAATTCTTTGATTTTGTAAGAAGATTTTGGGTTTTATTTGGGATCGCCATGTTGTGATCTATGGCGGTTTTTAGTTTGAGGTATTTAATCATTGTCCTTTACCTTATGCATCTTGTTTTTCATCAGTAGTGTATTCTACTGTTTGTTTCTCACACACCTCTATTGTTATAGTAGTTATGATATGTATATAAAATCATCATTTCATTCTGGGTATGTTAAGATGTATAGTTTTTCCTTTGCAGTTACTATGTTTATGCTTTTTCCATTCATGAACCCATTTTTATTCAATTGATTGATTTTTTTTTTTTTCAAGCTACTGACCTTTGTATTTGTAGCATATACTTAACATATATTAGAATATTTTAATCATATAATATATTGAACAAAAATTTAAACAGTGGTTAGATAAAAATGCTATGTAATAAAAAACGCAACATATACTGAATATATTAACTATAAACGCAATATACTGAACCAAAATTAAATATCACAATTGTGGTTAGATAAAAATAATATGTAAATAAAAAACAAATCAGGTTATATACTAAATATATACTGACTATAAACGTATTATATATTGCAATACAAAAACACCCGATAGCTGAAAATCTCATAATTTATGCAATTTTAGGGAAGACGGTTACGTTCTATTTGATAATTAAAAATCCGATAATCTGGTGAATTTTTGCAATAAATTGATATAGAATTTGTAAAGATGCAAATAAAGTTTACCCAGTAAAATTCTATTTTTATTTTATTTTTTAAAATCATGTGGTAATTGGTATGAATATTATCGGCTTCGTTTATTTAATGGGCTAAAGATAACAAAAAAAGAACCCAATTAAAAAAGGGAAATTTTTATCTCTACTTACCGATTTTAAAGTAATTGCAAACTTATCATTGAAACAAAAAATTTTGTGTATATACCTAAAGGATAGAAAGTAATTATACACATGCCTA